CGCCAAACTATTCACTTTTGCATGAAGGTTCTGGGCCTAATGGTGGCCTCCTTCGAGACAGTCTCATGTTCCCAGTTTTACTCCAGAATGTTGGTGGTACTCTGGTAACGATGAGGCTCTGGATTGCTCCAGATGCCTGACCACCCAGGTCTGTATTTGCTCAGATTTTCAGTCTGGTGCTGAAATTGATCCTTATTGTACGTAATTTGCTGACATGGTATACGAACCTAATCAAATTCCAAGTGTACTCTCTGTTGGCCCTTCCAGATCATTGGGAATTTCTATCCCAGTGGTCGGTCTTTCATCCTGCCTCTCCTTCGCTTGACTTTTTGAAGCCCTGGTCCTGAGGGACAGAGGCCTTTTGGAATCTGTTATCCCTGTTCTTATCTTGGTCTTATTGGTCCTTGTTTAGAGACCAATTGCCTCTCACTCCTTTTAGTAAATGCCTTTGTACACTGCATTTTCCCTAGTGACTCCTTTTGGATATCAACCTAGTCCTGTTGGTCATCCAGAGACTGCCCTTTGAACCTGTCGGGGAGATTTTCCTGTCTACCCTTACAAGGTTTCCTTCATCGCTTGAGTTTGTGACCTTAACCTGTAAAGAACCATTTCTAGTGTTAGACAAGGGCAAGGTTGTTTTGAGGTCAGCAGGCTAATTTCTTCCCAAGGTGGTTTCTTTTTTCCACTTCTTCATAACATTACATTATGATCTCTGTCCTGCAACAAAATATTCTAAGGAGATTTACTTCCACTTGCTGATCACAATCAACAGCACTACAATCAACCCCTCTCGTCAAGCCAGGGTGCTCGGAGTAATCTTTGATTCTGAGCTCTACTTTCAGCCCCACATCCAATCACTATCCAAATCTTGCCGACTCAACCTCAGTAACATTTCCAAAATTCGTCCCTTCTTAACAAATAATACCGCAAAGCTTCTAATTCACTCCCTTGACTGCTGTAATGCCCTCCTTGTTGGTCTACCACTAAACAGGCCCCCCTTCTACCAGACTCATCCACCTTACCCAACCGATCAGTGTCCACCACCCCTCTCTGCCAATCACTCCACTGGTTCTCACTTCCCCAATGTTTAAAATTCAAAATGCTAACAATAACCTACAAAGCCATCTACAATTCCACCCCAACCTACATGCCCTACCTCATCTCAAAATATCATCCAAACCGCCCCTTTGCAGCTGAGTGCCTCTTCCTGTAGTGCTGGCTCAGGTTGTGAACCTACACACAGACACCATGTATCCATTTCAGAGACAAGGCAGTCTTCTGCAAAACAGAAGTTCTGCCCAGCATGAGAAGAGATACGGATTTAAAAGGAAGAGCAGCAAAGAGAAGGGACACAACCATGGATTACAGTAAGGCGCACATTACATTATTGGTTTATGTTAAAAATCTGAGGGTTTAATGTCACTTTAAATATGCAAAGGTGATTCTTTAAACCATAAATAACAGAATGGTTTGTATAGCAGCCATGTTATATATATATTTTTTTTCATAACGCTTTGATTTTTATGTAACTGCAGTTTTCCTTTAAGGATTTCTCTGACAAATCCTGTAGAATTAGTTGAAATGCAATCTGAAATAGAACCGTATGAAAGTAGAATGCATAAGTTGAAGCTTGCCTTGTTTCCATAGCAACTGCTGCAGTACTTGGAGATGACCTTTTGGATTCCTCTTCTAGTTCTTTTCACATCAAGCATATTATTTAAATCTAGTTGCTAGACAAAAAATTGAATAGCAATAATTTTAAATGATAACTTGCATGCATTGAGGAAACAATCTCGTCAGTTTGAAATTTGTTCTGAAATAAGGCTGTTTATACCAGAGCCCCATACATTCTAAATTCAGTGGTAAAGCTTGTTAATCAGGATTTTGAGCAAACAAACCTTTTTATTGTTTTTAAAAATGGGGAAAGGTTGGAACTGTTGTCAGGTTTTTGATCTTTTGTGGAGAAATCTCCTTGCTTCCTCTCCTTATCATGCCTGTCATCTGGACATGAAATTAAGGGAAATCTGGCTAACCAGTATACATACAGCAGTAAAAAAGTTTTTTTTAAATGTTTTGGCTTGTGTTGGAGCTTGTATCATAAAGGCTGATTAAAGCAAAACTTGTCAGGAAAATTAAACTGACCAAAAAGCTTTCCATGCAAAAGGAGAAAACGTGCTTTATAGTCTTCAGAGAACCTAAAACTTACGGAAGTTGACCTTCTCATCCCCCCCACTGTGCTCAGTAGTTCCTCCCACATCACTACATATAACAGAAATGGACAGGAAGAAACACTGCGTGCAGCAGGGGAACACTGGATCAGCACATCCACAAATGTAGTTTTCTTGCATTTCAGAAAGAGAGAGAGATATAGATTTTTTTTTTTTTAGTACTCTTTTGTTTTCTGGGAGAGATTGTTGTACAACTTTATTTCCCTGAAAGGGTCAAGTAGGGCTGCACTGATATTGGTTTTTCAGTATCAAGTACTAATAATTTTTATCGTTCGGTACTTGCCGATACCAAGACTTCCACTAGCATGGAGCCGGCTTCCCGGCCAATCAGGAAGCCGGTCGGCATGTCACTAAACCGCTGCACGGCTTCTTGCTTGCCCTGGAAGCCGTCTCCCTGCTTTTTGGACGGTGTTCTGAAGTGATAGAACACCGGCTCGATGCTGATTGGTATAATAAATCCTGCAGTGTTCTATAGTACGTGTATATGATAATAGATAAAGCTCCATGTAGTGTTGAATCTAGCAACTAAGTACTGCCCCCCTACATAATCCTATTGGCCCATCACTATGGCCTTAGTGGCCAAGTGAAATGTGAAGGTGTGAAATGCTGAAGCTCTGTCTGTCAGAAAGGCCTAGTACTTGGTTGTGAGGGAACGGTTTTTAGGGTGCTGCTATGTGAAGGCAACTCAAGCTGCCTAGCGTTAATACCCTTTTTTTATTTTGGGTAATTCCAGGCTACCTTTTCTTAAAGGAGAACTATGTGGTTAGGGCTTTACCCCATAGTTCTCCTAAGGGTAGCGGGAGGACATAAACTAGCATCCCCCAGTCACCCTAAGCTCAGTATACCACTTGCTACAGCTCGTGGTATACTGAGATGCCGCAGCTGAAACTGATCCCGACAATTATGTCTGGATTCGCCCAACTGCTGAGTGACAGCTGGCTCTGCCTATCTAGAGGCAGAGCTAGCTGTACCCGCCCGTCCGTTCTGCCGGTCAGCGCTGGAGGATCGGGGAGGGGGGAATCCATTCCCTCCCCTGTCGCAGCGACAGGATCGAGAAGTGAACGCCGGTATGTGTTCGCTCACTTCCCGATCTGCTGAGCTGACCTGTGACAGTTTCATTGTCACAGGTCGGCTAGAACTATGAGGATAAGTGAAAAGCACTCCCCCTCATAGTTCTCTAAGATAAATGGACATGAATTATCAGTTGTCATTGCAATTATGCCAAGGAATACATTTCCTCCTCCTTTCCTCCTTTTTAATTTCTCAATGCAAGATGATCATTCAATTTTATTTATATTTCAAACAGTGCAATGTTATTTATAGAATGCCTTTTCTAGGCCTGTGGAAGGCAGGTGTTGGAAGATCTAAAACTTGGTGCATGCTTTTGGCACTTGGTGAAAGATCCCCAGACTTTGGATTTTTTTAAAATGAGGAGCACTTTTTAATTTCTTTATTTTTATGTAATGTAATCATTAAAACTTGAGTTAGAGCATATGGTGACAGTGTGTGCATACTTTTCTTTCCTTCCAGGAACAAAACATTTATTTCAATTTAAACATGATCTTTTCAGTGGTGTCTCTTGATGAGGCTTTTACAAGAATCTCTGAAAAGTCAGTCAAAAATTATTACAGCTGTGTAGCTTTGCTTATGAAACATTTATATTTGCCCAGTTTAAAAAAAAACAAATGTTATAAATTGAGTTGCAGTTCAGTGAGTAAAAAGTGTAGTTTGTTCTGGATTTTGGTTGATATTCTGTGTCCATTAAAATACACATATGATAAAAATTATATCTTATTTGTAAGTGGGTACATCTATCAGAAAGTTCCATGAACCTGGTGGAGAGTTCATGCAGTGACTGAAGGGGGGTTGCATTTTTGGTGGAAAGGTTGGTAACACAAAACTCAGGCGTTAAATCTTAATGCATTCAAGTATATTAACTATTAAAACTGTACCTTATGTATGAATTACTTGGCTGTAGATCCTCAAGTCATCTCAAAATTGGTGCGGATACTGCCCTTCCTTCCGGAGGGTTGCTACTTTAGTTCCCCATGGTCCTGCGCGTGTTGTAGAGCAATAATTAAATGTGCCATGCTAAAAACCAAACAATACATTTCCAAATTGATAAACGTGGTGTCCTATCCTCCAAACGCCAACCACAATCCTAACCACAACCCCAGAGGTTCGACACAACAACAATTGCTCAAAACACTCTACTGAGCATTGATATACTCACAATTAACAAAGATCATCCAATGCTCAGACAAATATATTTTATCCGCGTCAGAGCATGTATTCTGGCATACAGTATCAGTGCAAACAATAACAAATACGAATATCACTCCCTTGTACTGTGCATGCCAATAATGTGATATCCAAACCACGTCCAATTCATAAATTAGTGTCAGTAGTGCTTAAAAATCAGCAGTGTCCATTTATCTGTGCTTTAGAGAAAGCACACACAGTGCTCCCACAATGTCCAAATCCACCACCAATTTCCATGGCCTCCACTCTTCCGTCAGGTATCCGCTCACCTTAGACTTAGTACCTTTAGTTACTTGAATGCATTTTTAGGGTATAACTGATGAGTTTAGTGTCAATATTTTGCAATACTGTATCAGAAAGCATGTTACTTACCCTCAAGTGTGTATTCAACCAGGACTGTGTAGTGAGATTGGTTCTGTGCATGTTGACATGACATCTGTGATATATTTCCCACTCAATGATATTTTAATTGTAAAATATGTGAAACTTTTTTTTTCTTTCAGTCATAAAATCTGAATTTAAAGGTTGCTGAAGTCTCTTTTCTCTGGTAAGTTTGTTTTATTACTGTGTTTCGCATCTTATACCCTACACTCTGCATCTTATACCCTACAACTAAAGAAAGAAAAGCAGAGTTGTTAACCAGAGTGACGGGGTTCCTTGGTTTGCTTTTCCCAGAGATAAAATCTCAAGCCTAATATTTCAATATAAGTAGTAGCTTCACAAAGTCCCTAATTTTTCTCTGCTGTGTCATAACTTGTTCTTAATTTTCTTTGCTCTTCTGTTAAGCTGACATTTTCATTTGTTCTACCTTACACCTAGTTATAAATAGTATTTGACTTGACACTGAAATATTAGTTGAATCGGTCGCAAAGTCACTTAGGGGCATTTATGCAAAAATTTTCACCAAAGTGATAATTATATATTTTATTTAACAAGACACAAATACAAAGATGTTGGAGACATTGCAAAGACTTGTATATAATATGTTTCACATGATAGATAACCTGTAATTGGCATAGTCAATGGAAATTGGTTTCAGTCGCAGGAAGGTTTCTTTGGTGTTGAGTTGTGCCCCCACTTTTCAGAGTCGGGGGATGTCGTCTATAGACCTTTTGCGGATGCTTGGACAACTTGCATTTCAGATTTTTGGGTGCAGAAGGTGGTGTCTCGTGGCAACAAACTTCAGTTTGGTTCCCTGACCCCATTCTTGATTTCTCACTTCTCAACACCGCAGATCTCCGTTGAGACGTCTTGGATCTTCTAGCTCAAGGCGTCTTTGTCCCAGTTCCTGCCGTAAAACGGTTCCAGGGATTTTACTCCAGCCTGTTAAGTATTCCCAAACCCACAGAAAGGAGGGATTCACCTCATTTTGTTTCTTATGGCACTGAATGTTTATATTCGGGTCAACAATTCTGGATAAACTCCACCAAATCTGTCATTGCCTTCTTTTACCAGCAAGACTTTATGGCTTCTGTGTACACCAAAGATGCTTACTTGCGTGTGCCCTTCTTTCCAGTACATCAGTGATTCATATGTTTTGCCATGGGACCTCTACACTACCAGTTCATTGCAGCAATCCCTCCTCTGCACCTCACTTGTTCATCAGCTTATAGTAGAACTGTAAATGCCAGGTCCGTATGGCATACTGACCTGGCCAGCTGGAAGCACTTTTGTAGGTCCGTATGCCATACGTCCTTGGCAGCGAAAGGGTTAAGGAGCTGGCACCAATATTAGCCCTGTTTTTTGTGACATCCCAATTGTGTGATATTTAGATTAGAGCTGCAGCTAATGATTTTCCAAATCGATTAGTTAGCCGATTATTAAGTTCGGTCAATCGGATAAAAAATAAAATACATTTTAAAAAATGGCTCCAGTGATGGGACTACTAGTTTGTATTGAGATTGCAGTCCATCACAGGAGCAAGCTTGGAGCGGTGGAAGTAAAAAAAGAAAAAAAAAAGTGTGCTGTGAAATGACAAGTGTAAAATTATACAGCAATGAATGCAGACTGGCATCGGCTATAGAGGACTCCAAAACCCAGCAAATAGTACATTATACAGCACAATTTAGAATACCGCCAGCTATAGAGGAATACAACAAATCCCAGCAATACATTATACAGCACAATTTAGAATACCGCCAGCTATAGAGGAATACAACAAATCCCAGCAATAGTACATAATAGCTGGCGGTATTCTGCATTGCGCTGTATAATGTACTATTGCTGGGTGTTGTAGTCCTCTATAGCTGGTGGTATTCTGCATTGCGCTGTATAATGTATTATTGCTGGGATTTGTAGTCCTCTATACAGCGCAATGCAGAATAATACCAGCTATATAGGAGTACAACAAGTCCCAGCAATACATTATACATAGTGTACAATGTATTGCTGGGATTTGTAGTCCTCTATAGCTGATGGTACATTGCTCTGTATAATATACATAGGAATACAAATCCCAGCAATCCATTATAGAGCACCATGCTTAGTACATAATAGCTGGCGGTATTCTGCATTGCGCTGTATAATGTACTATTGCTGGGTGTTGTAGTCCTCTATAGCTGGTGGTATTCTGCATTGCGCTGTATAATGTATTATTGCTGGGATTTGTAGTCCTCTATACAGCGCAATGCAGAATACTACCAGCTATATAGGAGTACAACAAGTCCCAGCAATACATTATACATAGTGTACAATGTATTGCTGGGATTTGTAGTCCTCTATAGCTGATGGTACATTGCTCTGTATAATATACATAGGAATACAAATCCCAGCAATACATTATAGAGCACCATGCGAGGGGGGAGTGCAGGCTTACCTGAGCAGTCTTCCAGCAACTTGTTTCTGAGATCGGGCCTGTCTATTGGCGGCTGTGGTCTGCCCACACCTGCTCCTCATTTCTTCTCCCCGCGTCCCTGTGGTGATCGTGGATTTGGGTGGGCGGTGAGCTGGACAATGTATCTGACTGTCCAGACTTAAGAGGTACAGGTGGATCTTGTTTCCTTGGAAATAGTTTCTGGAATGGACTTATTGCTTTTAGTATCTGCGTCTGGTCCTGGGCATGTCTCGGGTCTGAGTGTTCTTTCTCTGGTTTGAAGTCTTCAGCCCAGAAGCCATTTGGCTCTCCGATTCTACAGAATTCTACAGAAATTTGGGGGCTGAAGATTGCCTCCTTTAATGCAATTCCTTCGGCCCAATTTTAATCCAGACCTCTTCTAACACAACATTTTGTCATTGTGGGAGAAATCAGTTCTGTCGCAGGATAGGGCTGATTCAATTGACATTTAGGGCTAGGCTATCCTTGGCTTGGCAGTCTACAATCTTGTCCCTAACATCATTTTGACAGCTCTTTGGTCTTGCCCATGGTGGTGAGGTTTGAAGGGAAGATAGATTCTGTGGACAGGTGTCTTTTATATACACATCAGTTGTCATTAGGAGCACCTTCTTAAATTGACGGGACTAATCTGTGTACCACATAGCCAGTCTGTGGGAGCCAGAATTATTGTTAGGTGGTGGGGGATCAAATACTTATTTTACACTCTGAACTGCAGCTCAATTTATAACATTTGTATCGTGTTTTTTCTGGATTTTTGGTTGATGATATTCTGTCTCTATCATTTAAAATTCACCTATGATAAAAATTCTAGACCTTTCATTTCTTTGTAAGAGGGCAAACTTACAAAATCTGCAAGGGATCAAATAATAATTTCCATACTGTATAAAATCCTATATAATATTAGATGCCAAGTGTCTCTTAATGTTTAATCCAATTGAAGCCAGGTGTGTGTGAGACTTCTTTTTTTTTTTTTCCATTTGATATGTTTAAAACACATTTTCTGGGGACAAAGTTTGATGTTTTCAAAAGACGGGATTTTATGAATCTTCTGTGTTTTGATGGGGTCGACCATTATTGATTTTTCAGAACCAATGCCGATTTAATGGCCACATTTCAGGCCGCTAACAGATATCGTGTACCAATCTTCTGTTTCCATCCAACTGCTCTAGCAGCTGGATATAAACAGCAGGCAGTATTCTGCATCTGGCAGCAGAATGTTAACAGTGAGCAGTGCAATAACCCGTCTGCTATTACCATTTCAAACTGCAATAGCAGGCTGGCTATTAAACCCGCCTGCTGTCAGTAGAGGAGTGGACTTGAAGGAGAAAGTTCTCCTTCAGGTCTGCTTCTCTGCTGATTGATCTGAATAGGCTGGGAGCAATAACCAGCCTGCTATTGGCTATTTTAAATTGCGATAGCAGGCTGGCTATTGCACCCGTCCACAGCCTGCTGTCAATTAGCAGAGGAGGACCTGAATGAGAAAGTTCTCCTTCAGCTCCGCTTCTTTGCTGATTGACAGCAGGCAATGGGCGGATGCAATAGCCAGCCTGCTATTGAATTTGGAAATAGCCAATAGAAGGCTGGCTATTGCCTCCCCTGCTATATGCTATTTGTTTCTGTATTCTGAAAGTGGCCGCGGTCAGAATACTGAACAGAGCCAGCAGCTGACTGGCTGTCGACTCCGTTCCTACATAATTTTTCTGACCAACTCCTTCGATCAGCTGATTGAGGGATACCAGACAGCAGTGCCCACTGTGTAAATGTAACCCATACCAATAATTTAAAAAAACCTGGGAATATCGGCCCCGATCGGTAGATCCGATAATTCCTACTATGTTTTTGTTTATTTACGCAATGACATGACTACTTCACTTTACAGAGTAGAAAATGTAATTGAAAAGTTAATGTGTTATTTTGTTCTTTTTAGGGAATAACTGCAGTTTGCTTGGAACTCATGGTTTAAGTGGGCATAAAGATGAGTATAAGCAGTGATGAGGTTAACTTTCTGGTGTACCGATACTTGCAGGAATCGGGTGAGTGTGTTTTTGTTTTTTTTGTAATATATCTTTAAGGAAAACTTGTACTGAGAGACATGTGGAGGTGGTCATTGCTGATTTACCCTGAAAATATTTCACTATTCTAGAGGATTGAAAGCTTAGACTTGCTGACCCAAGTAAGGAGTTTTCACTTCACTTACGGCATGCTGCTTCAAATAATTGAAGTCCGGAATAGAGATGAGGCTAGGCTTGTTGTAATCCCTATTTGAGTGACTTCACCCATGTCCGTTCAAAACTCTGACCCCCGACCCCAATCAGTCGTGAGTAGGCGCATTCCCTCTCCTGCAGCAATATGTCACAAAGGAGCTGACACTGGTTGGGTTGAAAGGAAGGTTGGTGGTCAGAATTGTGAGGAGGTTTGGGCAAGCTGGGTTCACACCAAGCCCAGCCTCTTCTTTAGCCAGGAGCAACTTGACACCCACAACAAGGTTGGCAATGGTTCATGTAGCCCAAACATAAAATAATTTGCCTATTAAACTGCAAAGAATGCTGAGTCATTTCTTTTGTATTTAATTGTTTCACAAAAGGAAGCTGGTAATATACAGGTATATGAGCCTGACATCTGTAATCTAAAAGTTGTGTACCAAGCACTTTTTGGATCCTTTACTCATGCTGTTCCTCCTGTGCTAAGCCTCTGACATATACCAGTCTCATAAATGCAATGTAGCTGGAAGACAGCAGCCTTCAAAGGTATTTTGTCCAAGCTATGTCACTTCTGGTTTTAATACACTGACCTTGAACTTAGTGTTATAGGTTCTAGATCTTTTCCTATGTGCCCAACTTTTTTGTTGTAATTCAGCTCCTGTTGCATTCTCCACAGTCTAAAACAAAGATAAACTCCCCACATGATGGTCACAGCAGGTGTGTTGACTGGGAAAGTAAAGTGCAGGGATATCACCAGTCCTAGAGACATAATAATCAGGCAGTTATTGGTTGCACTGACCTAAGACTGCCAAGCAACAAGCATTTTTACATGGAGGTCAGACACCACTCCTTTTTTTGTCACCACAGGTTTCCTTTGACCCTTTTGCTTCCACTGATGTAAGTACTACATCTATGGCAGCACGACCTCTAAATAGGCTTCTGGTTGCTATAGCAGCTGGGGGGGGTGTCTTTTTTGGCACCCCTAACCTGGGGGACAGCTTTCTTGATCACGTGCCACTAGCCCCCTATATGATGGTAATAAATTTGAGTTGAAAAAAAAAGAAAGTTTAATAAAATAACCCCCCCCCACCCCCCAAAAAAA